GAGAAATGATTTTTAATAATATCATTTTGAGAAAATAGTAGATTTATATTTATATCTTATGCACTGTGTATACAGGTGATTCCATTGTTGTTACAACATTCACACTATAAAGGTCTGTCTTTTTCTTACAAAAATGAAAGAAAAAAATGAAGGAAAAAAGGGCACGCCCCCCTGTGTATTGTGCAAATACAAGAGATACAAGCCAGCCAAGCAAGTATACAGGCTGGTGATCCCATGGTTGGAGGACTGGAGAGTGTGCCTTTTACCCCATATGGCTGAATACAGGCCATGCACACCAAATTACAAGGGAGGCTTTGAGACTGGTCACAAAACAAAGGGATGTCTCTTTCAAAGCACCAGTTCCCTGTGCTTCGAGGTATAGGTCACCCCTGGTGCCCAGGAAGGAATGCCGCCACAGAATAATGATTGCAGGCATTGAATAGGGAAGTTTATTTGCCTCTGGTAGCTTTCCACTGCCATGTGATGTGTTGCTGTTTTTTTTTTTTTTTAAACCCTAACCAGATCACCAGTGCTGCCAGAGATAAAACAAAGATGTTTGCTGTGCCACTTTATGCATGCAATTTGTGCATACTTGAAAACTTTCCAAAGTCCCAAACGTGGGCAACAAACAATAATGACAAGAGCTGACGACAAAAATGGCAGTTGTGTCAATATAAGAGAAACAAATGGGCTATTGTGATAATGCACTGGTGACAAACAGGCAATTGTGGTAAAACACTAGCAACAAATGGGCAATCGTAACAATACACAGGCAACAAAGAGACAATCATGACAATATGAGAGAAACAAAATGGGTATTCGTTACAATACAAAGGCAATAAACAGGCAATCGTAACAATATATAGGAAATGAATGGGTGATTGTGACAATATGGTACAATAGGAATGACAATAACAGAGCGAGTAATTCCAGATCTGTCTATCCACCCCTCCCCAACCACCACTTACCTAAATTTCAGGCTAATCGTCATTTCATGAGTTAATGAGTGCTCTCTTCTGCATGGGACAACTCACAGGACCCATATGGCCACTGGAAGGTGCTAGAGAGCATAGGCCATACCTCCTCTTGGCTTTCTTTTTCCCAGTGCTGGCTGGTCCCTCCAAGCTCCTAGCTGACATAAATAGTGACACTGCTGTCTGCCTATTTTGGTGGAACTGAAAGGAACTCCCAAAACACTGATTAGCTGAATTATCCAGAGGAGATACAGAAGGTTTCCAGCAATGAAAATGGGTTATCATCATAGGTTGATGGATAAGATTCCAAGATCCCAACCATGCACTATAGCAGGGGTGCCCACAAGGTAGATCACCATGTCCTCTCCTCCCGCCGCTTCTCTGGATCCCCGCTGCTCTCCCCGAGAAGAAGTGAAGGAACCGGCGAATTTTTTGTTGGTAGATCTCAATGAGCTCGTCATTTGCAAAGTAGATCTCCAGACGAAAAATAGTGGGCGCAACTGCACAATAGTAACACACAAAATGCATCATACAAGTGTTAGTGTGTTGCGTGACATTCATTTTTAATGGCACCACAACACAAGGAAGCTCACATGTGTTGTGCAATGCATGTAATTTTTTTGTGCATTTATGTTCACTGGCAGCCCATTCAAATGAACAGACTGCCCCAAGTCAACATATGTTAACGCGTGACCTAATGTGTGTGAATGCAAGAAAAAAAATAAAAATAGAAGAGAATGGGCCCTAGACTTAATTCTGAAAAACCTAAGAATACAGCACTTTGCTTGCTGGAAAATATGATCAGGCAGGTTATGGTGAGATGGACTTGATGGACTAAAAATCTCTTTAATGAACCAGTGCAAAGCAAAGTAGAGCCTTCTTACAACAGAAGGTATCTACTTCTATCACAAATCCTGGCCCAGGTACATAAAGGAATGAAATGCATGGCTCTTCCAACTATCCTTAAATGAGATGAAGTGAGACACGCAGATACCCAGGGCCGGATTTCCCACAAGGCTCGGCCTTGAGGCAGCAGGGAGTAGGGGGGCAGCAGGGCTGTGGAATTCCTATCTCCCGATGCCCAAGACATGCAGTTCTGGGTGCTGGGTGGGTAGTTGTTTTCTACATTTAGCCCTGCTTTGGGCAAGAAGAGATAAATGTACAGCGGGGAAGCCACCGCTTGTTTTGTACGCATGTATGCAGCCTGCGGGTCTGCTATTCTCCATGGGGGGTGTTGGCGGGTAGGGGAGTGCATTGAGGAACCTGGCCTTGGGCCTGCAGAAAGAGTGAATCCGGCCCTGCAGATACCTTCTGTTTTAGGAAGGCTTTACTCTTCCTGCTTGAATATAAAAGTGGAACTCCAAACTTTCCTTTTTTAGTTGTGGATAGAGTGGTGAACAGTTAGTACATCTCTCAGATTTTTAGTACTGTATGTGTCCCCACTGTGACAGTTTCATCACACTTCCTGTTCAAAACAGGAAATAAGAGAAAATCTCCCCATAGTAAAGGCAAACTCTAGCTTTGACAGCTATCACTAACACTGGTAGGCAACTTCCCCCCTAGAGTTCTTTGACAATGACAACAGCAGCATTTTATATTTTTTAATTTCACCTTACTTTTTTCTCCTGGTGAACAGAAAACAGAAGTAAATCTACCCAACATGGACAAAGGCAGCAGTTTAGGCCTCACAGGGCCTTGCTTACTCTATCCAAAACTATAACAAAATCTTTAAGGGCCTGTTCACACGACGTCCGTTTTGTGTGCTGACCGTCTCCGTACACTGCTGCACTCAAAATGCATCCCAATGTATCCCTATGTGTTTTATGGGCTCCAGTTCTCACGTGCGCAGTCCGTTCAGCTTACGACAGAAAAAATACTGCATGTCACATTTTGTCCGGTCCAGAAACGCACGAAACGCAACGAAAACGGAACGGCAACGCAATGCAGCTAAGGGGGGAAAAGAAGAAAAAGTTGTATTCTTGCCCCACTTATTATGATGTCATCAACGTTGACAAAAAATTAACTGTCAGCATCCGGACCGAAAACGCGTCAAAAACGCACTGCATCAGCAGCTCCACGTCTGCTGATCAGCACCTGATCAGGACCTGATCAGGACCTGATCTCATGTGAACAGGCCCTAAAGGAGTACAGAAGGATTCATTTATAAAAAAAAAAAAAAAGGATTCCTATATCAAACTCTCAACTCCTAGCTATCATGTCTTTGGTTGGAAAATTATTACATTGGTCATTACAAAACACCACTAGGATTATTCAAATGACAGTTCAAAGAAAGAAGTATAATAACCCATGCCATAGAGAGTTTACTATACTGAAGTTAATGAGATGATGGATTGTTATTGGTGTATAGCACTTTCCCTTTGCTGTCTACTCAATCTTCTTTATGGAATAAGCCCATATAGTGTATCACCTATCCTTCTCTAACTTATAATGAGCACTAGTGGCCGATCTGCCAAAAACGGAATTCTATATGATTGCTTTGTAGGACTTGGGGGCTACAGGCTTCATGTAGTGTCTCCCAGGTGTTGCCATAATTATTAAGTCCACTTCACCTGCTGCATTTTTAGTTCAAAGATATCAACTCCAATAGACCTAAGACCGCTTTGTAATGGCTGTCATAAGTAAAAGTCTTACCACAGCAAGCTTGTAAAATGAAAGTAGATAGTAGAGGATTGCAATTTCTAACTAACAAACATCTCCTTTGGGAAGAATATCTATAGCCAAATTTAGTGTTTGTATTTTTGGATACAATAAGGACTGATGTCTGTTTCCCATCACTTGCTGTACCAGACACAAAACAGAAAGTAAGACAAAATCTCTTCAGTCCTCTATAAGTTGTCACAAATATCACAATTTGGAAGATGTCCCCTCACCTTCCAGTCCCAACTGAAACATATTGGAATTTCCATCTTTTTCTTTCTTGGTGACAATGGCGGACAAGACAAATAGAGAGGGTGAATGAGCCCTGTTTATGGGCTTTTTCCATTAAGGAACAGACCACAAAAGGACAGTGCTTTTCACCATTCACAATCCATCATCTAATTATCTTCAGTATACTAAACTCTCTATGTCATGGGTTATTATACTTCTTTCTTTGAACTGTTATCCATAATGAAAATTAAAAAAAATTGGCTTTAGAGATACCCTAAAGCAGCCAACCTTTTGGACCTCATGGACCACTAAATTCATAATTTTAAATCCCGAGGACCACTAATATAATTTTTTTTTAAAAAAAACAAATATATGTATGTGTGTGTATATATATGTGTATGTATGTATGTATGTATGTATGTGTGTGTATATATATATATATATATATTTTCTCTCTCTGTCTCTCTCGATATATAGCTATATAGCTATCTATAGATAGCTATATATACACACACGAATATATTTAATATATGAGGAAACAAAAAATATGAGAATATATCTATATATATCTATAATATAATCTGCCACTAGCCCTGCACATCCCCCCCTAGGTTCAGCACTGCCCCCAACCACCCCCATACCTCCCTTCAGCTACACACTGAGCATCTATTACCTGGCTTCTCCCCACTTTTTCTATGTCCCGCAACCTGCTCAGTCCAGGTACTGACGAAATGACCTGCAGAGCCCGCACTGTACTGAGAGCCGCGCATTCCTTGTGAGAGCCGCTGCTTGAGTCAGTGAATGGCAGCCCCAAAGCCGCCATGACGTTTCAATGACGGCCCAGCCTGCACGGAATCGGAGGGGGACCACCAAAATTTTCTCGTGGACCACCGGTTGGCGACCGCTGCCCTAAAGGACAACTTTAAGGCATATCCCCAACCCCCTGAGTGTAGCCCACCTAGCCCAATAGATATTTCTGTCCCTGTTCCAGCGATCTTCACTGTGTGGTCCTGCCTGGCGCTGCACAGCCTTTCTTCGAAGAGCGTCCTCTTTATCCTGTGGCCTCAGTGCTATGGGGATTCATATTTAAAGTGACCTCCAGTGGTCTTGTGGAGTAGGCTCACACCATAGGAATGAATGGAGACGCAGGATGAAGAGGACCCAGTGGGGGCACTTTCGGTAAGAAGGCTGTGCAGCTCTAGGCAGGACTTCACAGAAAAGGCGGCTGGAATGGAGAATATTGGATCAGGTAGGTTGTACTCAAGGGAGTGGGTCTATGCCTTAGAGCCTTGGTTCTCAACTGGTGGGACACAAAAGTGGGCCGGGACCACGTGTTCAATGGGTCCTCACGTACCATCCACTTTACAAGGTGAAAGGATCTTAGCATTGTCAGTTTTCGCACAAAGCAGCCATTCAAAATATGCTGCCTGGTGCCGAGTGTCGGCATGAGGTGGGGTGGGCTTGGGATATGGTTGCGAGGGAGCTCCCGCCATACATGCATTGCTTACAGCCCCTCGTGTGTCCTGCAGAGGTGCCTGGACTAGAGTGATGTCACATTCTGGCTCCCAGAACCTCTACAGGGTGTGCAAGGAAGCTGTAGAAGTGGATGCACATATGGATGGAGCTCCATAACAGCACAGAAGCCCACACTGCTTTCCATTGCAGTGCAACCTGGGTCACGATTTAATGACCAAGGACAAATGTGGGTCTTGAGGTTACATAGGTTGAGAACTACTGCCTTAGAGGATCTTGTCCTTTACAATTTTATTTTTAAAATATGTTGTCTGCTATGCTGTACATTTGTGAAACAATCAGGTATGGAATTGAAGTTACAAAGTATAAAAATAAACATTACAGAAATAAATTTAAATATTAAAGAATTAAAGAAATAACAGAGAAGTTTTATGAGACTGCCCTATAAATGACATGCTTTTGACATAAACGTGTCTTTTTTCTCTTATTTAGTCTGTAGGGAATATCTGCAGAAGCTTTACCAGTCTTTATTAGAAAAGAAATGTGAATTTACTCCGGCCGCCATAGAGAAAGAATTAATCAATGCATGCAGAGATGCTACAGAAAAAGAAAACCGCCTGGTAAGATATCAACATGTTTTTTTCTGTGGACAAATCTATCAGCGAGGCTTTAGTTCAAAGTGTACTTGGCAAAGTGACAAACATGTACAAAGCACATTGAGGTGTAGTGGAATATGCAAACTTTTGTTCCACTTTGCAAAGATACAGACAGCAGGTAGTTTACTAACAGAATTGTGTTTTCCTTCTGAATGCTAATATATACAGTAGATGGTTTATTAAACTGAAGCTAAGTCATTTCAAGGAATCTACAATTACAGTTGTACATTGCTCACTGTTAAATTGGGAATCGTATTGTTCCTAATATATTCTTTAAAAAAAAGTAAATGATTTATGCGCCAGAACTAGATCTCTCTATTTCAATAAACTGCACATTCTATGTACATTAAAGCAGGCTTGTCTGGGTACCAACAGAGAAGCTGCTCCATTCATAGAAAGTGGTTATTCCAGTTGCTCTTTACATCTTCACATCCAAGCCTAAAGTGGAATTTTAACCATTTCAGTAGATTTACTATTAGCACTATCATTCATACATTTCTAACCTTTTTACAATGTTATAAAATGTTATAATCTGATGCACCAACAGTGCAATACAGAGCTATCTTTAGTGGTTAATTTACAAATGCCTATATTTAATACAGTAACAAAATATAGAGAGCATGCATGTAAAAATCACATAAAAAAAATGAATGAAACACTGAAATATATAGTATAGTAGGCTGCCACAGCAATTGCCCTGAAAAACAAACCCAAACAACTGTAAATACAAAAGAATATAAATTCAAATTAATTGAAATATTCAATAAACACTTCATGGTTTTCAGCTTTAGTTCATAAATAATATTGCAAAATGATTACTTAGGTAACTAAAAGTGTAATCAGCTATATTTACCAAATGAGCTCAATCAGAAATAAAGGAAGACAGATTTATCATAGTCTTGCAAAAAAACACTTTATGCCTGAATACTGCAGAGTATTTTTTAACATTGTTTACATAGAAGAGTCTGTCTAAATAGTAAATTGCTGCATGTGTGTTTCTTTGTAGGTGACAGGTTCTTTTTATGCAACAATTATGCATGGGCAATTTGCTTATGCAAGATACTATTTCGTATACTGTTGCTAATATCTGTAAGTTATCCTATATTTGCTAAGTCTATAATTATGTCGTTTCTTGAAGGGAATAATGGTAACTTTCAAAAGAGAATTAAGTTCTAATATGATACTGTAATCAACCCTAATTTTCTCTACCTTATTTTCCAAATGACTAAATACTTCAAGTGTAACTGTGGCAAGGTATTAAAGTATTTAGGCGCTGTGGAATAATTAATCTTTGTTTACATTAGAAGGCTGGCAAGCTGATAAGTCCCTGCCACAGGAAAGCTTGGGACTTCAGCTGAAATTTCAGTGCCCCTGTTGTAAACCTTGAGGATCAAAGGCTCTGCCTTTATTCTGTGAATGAAGGACACATTCTTAGATGGCAGGCCTATGATGCTCAGTATTGTCTTCAGTCTTTCTTGGTTGAATTACATTGGGCATCATTTAACCTGGAAGACTAAGGACATCTTTTGGCAGAAAGGAAGTACTGCAAAGAACCGCTAAGATTAAAGGTGAGCTTTACAACCAGAGCTGTGGCTGGAAATTCATATCAATAAAAAAATATATAAAAATTAGCTCAGAGATGCATTTTGATATCTTCACAGTGACACAGCTACAAAGGTTATTGAGGGCATGTTTTGAAACTCATTTACTTTTTTATGAATATGTAAATATTTTAATGCTCATAGGTTCACTTTAAAATAAGCCCTCACTGACCTATGTAATTGAAGGCACTGCGGAGCAATTAATCTTCAAAGTACACAAAAGAAGCATTAAAGTCTTCCAAGCTGGGCCTATCAACCCTATGCACCCCTTTTCCTGAGCATCTGCTCTGTGTTTGCATTAGAGATCTGATGGTTGGAAAGCTTCCACGTCACTGCTGGGAGGGAAGAGCAGGGTGATCTCAGCAGACCAGAACAAGAAGCTCGTCTGTGGCCAGGCAAACACTGTAGTATTCGTTTTTTATTGTTTTTTTTTAATCAATTACTGCTGTGCAGCTGGCCACATGCATTAGATGATGGTCATACTTTACTGTAATCTTTGGCAAAGCACCAGTCTCTGCACTGCCAGTTAAGAAATATTAGCAATTTGCATCATGCTATTATCAAACCTGTCAATTATATCAATTTCAATGGGCCAAAACTAAAGCAAACTATGTTGGAGTGATAATCCCTAAGTATCCATACTGCCTTTATGCCAAAAACGTACCCTCTGTACTCAATCTTGAAAAAGACTTCACAACATGATCTAACCTTACATTTTCCTATCCTGGCAGAGTTTCTTTAATAAAAATGATTGCCTTCCATACTTCTAGACTCATAGGACAATAAAAATATAATTAAAGGATGTTTTATATGGTGGAAAACGTGTACCAAGATTAGAAGGCGCATTCTCCAACAACAAATGGTAAATGCTAGGATGAACCATTACTCTATCATATTTTGTATTTTTTGTTGACCATGAATTTGGTAAGATCTCTATCAAAATTAGTTTTTGGTGGTGTATAATGAAACCGTAAAACAATTTAAAATAATGCTTATCTTTGTGTCTTATTATGGAAGTTTGGTGCTGTGTGGTTCCTGTGAGGACTTTCTCTCCTTACAGTCAGCATACATGCTTCTGCTGTCTGTTAGTCCCATTCTTCAGTCACTGAGCCTTACACTAAATGCCATAGACATTATATTGTGGTTAATCTTCTTTAATCTGTCATGCAGATCACTTGAAAATGAAGGGGAAAGAACTCACAATGCTACTCTAATCCACCCAAAAACATAGCACTCAACTGAAAAGCCCCCCCAAAAAATCATTCTTTTGTTCATGTATTGGCATTAATGCTTTCTAAATCAATAACTTGGAACAATGGAGAAACGGAACTTTTTTTCTTTTTCTTTTTAATCATCTTTATTAAATATTTTCAACATTTCATAATAGTAATTTACAAAATCATGATTGATAATATACTTTACAACTACATAATTACACATCCGAATACATACATTCATTCAGGTAATCTAGCTTTTGTAGAAATGATATATCCAGAATATTTTCTCTGTTAATATAACTAAGTCTTTCCTTTAAATTACTCCCTGAGTTATGGCTAAATACAGTATGTTAATTTACATGCTTCCTTTACGTATAACAACATGTCCTTTAAACTGACTAGTTTTACTGTGTTAATGTCATTATGGACATGGCACAAGATTATTATAATGCTTTGTTTTATTAGTGTTACTATTTAGGGGCAACGAGTGATGCAGCTACAAAAATTCTAAATGAGGTTACTCGTCCTATGAGTGCTCATGTGCCAATATCCAAAATCTGTGAGAGACTGAGGAAGATAGACATTCAGATCTGTGAGCTGAAATATGGTACGTATTGTATAAATAATGTCGTCATTATTGCAGTATAAACTATTATATCATGCTATTGGTGAGAAAACATTACCGGGGACCATAGCTTCTTCATTACAGCTTTATACTCCATAGATCCATCACTTAAACACACACAGTAGGCCTGTAGAATGTAGATTTAGATTGAATACTTCAACTAATTAGGATCACATTATAATGATTTTGTTCACCAGGCTAATGTGAACCTCAGAAAATGTTGACTTTCTGCACTTTCAGATTAATAGCACCTACTGAATCTAATGAGAACTTTCCTGTGGTTGTGTGACAAAGTAAACCTCACCCTATAATGTACCCTAAATAAATTTACAATGGTTGTCAACTGTTACTAATTTAAATCTGTGTTTTTAGTGCACCGTAACACCCCTCTTTCTTGCATACTGTTCACACAGTATATAATCCTGTGTAGGGATGCACCGATACCACTTTTTTAAGACCGAGTACAAGTACCGATACTTTTTTTTTCAAGTACTCACCGATACCAATTACCGATACTTTTTCTTAAAGGGACAGGTCACACTTTTTCTAAAGCAATACAAAATCATGATTTTAAATCAGTTTCTTAATATTATGAAGAACATGAAATGAATATTTATCATGCCATTGCTAACTAAGGCTTGTATCCCCATAGTGGGGAAAATAGATGAGCACATGTAGAGACTCCAGACCTGCTAGCAGACTCCAGCACAGCTATATCCAATTCAGCATACCTGGCTTTATATTATAATGCTGGCAATGCTGCCATACACCTGGCGTGTATTATATATATATATATATATATATATCATGTAAATTATTTAATAAGGTAAAGAACAATGCAGCACTGCTACCAATTATAAGACATATTTCATCATTATCAACTTATCAAAAGGTAACCTGGATGGGCTCATTTGTATTACATCACACTGCACATTTCTGAAAAGCTTTATTAACTATGCTGGACTATTGTAGTTTTGCACCTACTTTTCATACATCCTTTTCTATGCTCATGTATTTTTGTGACGCAGAGAAGAAGATTGATCTAAATTATGTGGACCTGGCTAAGCTGAGGGTTGCAGAGTTAAAGAAGATATTGGACAACTGGGGAGAGGCATGCGTAGCCTGCATCGAGAAAACAGATTATGTTGAGCTTATAAAGGAACTTGCTCCAAAATATACTGCACAAAATCATAGGACAGACTTGTGAAATCATCTACTCTAAATAAGGTTGGAGCTGATGTATAACAGAGGAATGGAAAATGGAAGAGATGTCCATAACAACCCTTTTAGCTATAGGATTCCATATTCTATACCTTTACATGAAATGACAGCTGAAATCTGGTTGTTTGCTTTGGACAACACAGATACTTTCTCTTCTTGCAGTTTTATTATGTGAAGATAAATTATACATTTCATTGACTGTGGCTACACCAGTGTTAAAACATGCATCGTTAATAAACTGTACAAAAAATAGCACACTGGTAATTATATGTGTACTTATTATCATTATTATAGTTACTTTATTACTATTATCATGCTGAATAGCAGGGAATCCATTAGAATGTTATGGAGCATATGTGATATCAGCAGGATTGATGCCATTATGTGTTATTTAAGAAGCTGCCTAAGTATGTTCAGTATTTCCATTGAAAACATTATATGCCATGTTCTTACATAGACATTAAAGCAAACATTCACACCCAAAATGTTGTTTTCCTCCCTGTAACCCACACCCCCTCTGCAATATATAAACCCTTTTTTTTATTAATTTTTTTTAAATCTGGCCTACTCCCCCTTTCTTTATTCTCATCTAGGCTAGAATTAAATGTCCTGCTGGGATATCCCCATCATATATCCCAGTAGGTTGCAGGAGCAAGAACACATAGGCAGACTTGGTCGCCTGTTATGGGAGGCTGGCTGCAAGAACCCAGAAGAGACAGCAAGCACCTGATAATGTAGTAATGGAAGATGGCGGCACAGGACCCAGGCTGTGGCAGCAGAGCAGCAGATTGCAGCAGGACAACACTGGATTCGCTGGGCGGGTGAGTATAATTTCTGAAGAAAATCCTTCATAAGAGGAAAAAAAGGGAGTAAAAAAAAAGGAGATGGGTGAATTTCCTAAGTAAGTTACTTATTCTTAGTCATCAATTAGATTTAAACCTGCGCTTAAACCAATTTGGTGGCTGGGGGGATTAACTCAAAGGTGCTGCATTAGGACCTATATGATCAGGATTATATATACTGCATACTAAATGTATATTTTTTTTATAGTATACCTGTAACGTATGATCGAGACAGAATAGCAGCATGGACATAGGGATGCCAGGGATTCTACCTTTTGATACGACATCATAGTCACAGAGCCCCATGTTTCTTGACAGCTTTAATAGACAATAAAGCCCATTTCACAGGAATCCCCTTCTGAACAGCTCATGTGAAAGGGGCCTAACAATGAAATTTGAACTGCTGTTGAGCATTGCATAATCCCTTTATATCTTTCATGGCGAGCCAGAGTAAGGAAAGCTCATATTTGTAAACCTGTTTGATTATTTTAAAATAGGTAATGTGTGTTAACCATAAAATACGCCTATAATCCAAAATGGCAGTCAACACAGAGCAACAGGTTACAATACATTTTCATAGTCCTTATATTTTCATTGTACATATGTTTACTCACACATGTATTTGTCAATGCTTTTAACTAGGGGTGATAACGTTTTTTTGATAACGAGTACCGATATTTGTTTGTGGTACTCGCCGATACCGAAAGTCCCATTAAGGAAGCTGGTTGGTGTGTAATGACTTGCCGCCCAGTTTTCTGATTAGCTGGGAAGCCAGGCGACGAGTAATGACTTGTTGCCTGGCTTCCAGATTAGCCGGGAAGCCGTCTCCATGCTCCATGTGTGTAATAACTCGCTGCCCAGCTTCCTGATTGCCCAGAAAGCCGGCTCCATGCTTCTTTGTCACCAGGTGATGAGGGAGCATGGAGACGGCTTCCCGGCCAAGCAGGAACCTGGGGGCCGGTAATGACTCCCCCCCCCACAGCTTCCTGAGCAGCCAGGAAGCCAGCTCCATGATCCCTGGGACGAGGGAGCATAGAGCCGACTTCCAGGTCAATCAGGTTCCGGTTTTGGGATAAGCATCGGGAGCATTTGGGCGAGTACGGGTACTCACTCAAATACTCAGTATCAACACCGATACCGATACTAATATCGATATTGGTGCATCCCTACTTTTAACAACTATTTTACATAGAAATTTTTTTTTTAGGTTATTGGTTTTGAAGCTTTACTGCTCAGTGTCTGCTTATTAAATCAAAACCAGTTCTGTTTTTATTCTCCAGAAACACTGCATATATCTTATATAATATGGCATCTTTTATTTACAAACATCAAATCACATTAACAGATAATGAAGTTCTTTTTGGGAATCATACAGCACGTATTTTATTTTCAGAGCAAGCAGTGTATTACTATAATAATGTAAGCCATGGGTATGATTCATGTCTAATCCTCATTTTCTGCTATCTGCTGGGCATTTTTTCTGCTGAGGTTGTCCCAGGATGAAATTATACTGCATGCTTAAGCACAGTGTCTGGGGCTTCGTTTCATTAAAAAGCAACAGTCTGCAATTCAGTATTTCACGCCGAATGGGAAAGGTCTCTTTTCATCTGCAGAATGCACTGTAATGTGTAGTATTTCATGGGTGGACAGATCCAGCTAATGAACATTTTGACGCTAATGATTCTCAGCAAATGAGCAAAAATACTCTATTATCTATGAAGACATTTCTTATGTTCCAAATTGTATTGTTATTCATAACTGCTGGTTTTCTTTAAAGGTAAAGTGCACTTTTTAAAACAAAAAGCTGTTGATACATCATACATAATTGCTATACAAGCTATTTATGAATTAAAGGTACGGTAATTAAAAATAACCTTTCTATATTATTATACAGACCAATAACATTTTTAAACTGCTCAAAATTCTTCAATGTTTCTTCCTTGTAACCTTGGTACCTGGGGAGCATTCTATACACACAAAAAAAGTTCCACTTTAAATGATTTTAATTGTCTATATATAAATGATAACTTGCTATTGCAATTAATAAACACCACAGGTGTAGACTTTAAACCTGGAAGAAATAAGTAAACCAATTGCCCATAGCATCCAATGAAACACCAGCTATAATTTCTCTAGAGCAGTTTTAAAAATATATACCAACAGTGGACAGGTTACTATAGTCATCACCTTTTATGTTTCTATTCCTAGTGTTATAAATGAACCAGTTACAAAAATATGTTTTATGCTGAGAAGAGAAGAGCAAACTTATTCCCACATGTGCAACAGCTGTTTCCCCACATTCAATCAAAAAGTGTTGTGTCCGCAGACACAACTTTTGTGTAAAACATTCAAACACAACCACTAGATAAAGCCATAGCACACAACCACTGGATAAACTATTGGACACAACCACCGTATGAAACTCTTTTCAGTATACAGAAGTGAACACTTTCTGAGTATAGTAGCAGCTGAAAAATTTTTCTGCTTCTCTGCTCAGAAAAGGCTTGCTGTTATGCTCCTGCTTTTGTCAGCCTTAAGAAACCTCATGCCCAACAGATTTTCAAACAACTTGTGTCTCAAAGTCCTTGTCATCATTTTCTATCTAACCCAATATTGTTGGTCCTCCATGATGTGGTCCCACACCCTACAAAAATAATTGTTTCTCACCTGCCTCCCTACGTGGGGGATGCTCAAGATACTGATAATAGATGTAATTTATAACTTCTAGTGTCCTTAGAAGACACAAGTTCTCCTTCTAATTCATTTGTAGATCTATGTATATGTATATATTTTAGCTGTGTATACAGGCCAAATATGCAGGTACTGTAGTTTAAAAATCCCCTCACAGTTTAACATTTGATATGAATCAGACTCAGCAGGGAAATGTTAGTAGATTTTAGACACTAACTCACATCAATCCTTTGCCCTTTTAGTTTAGAAGGTGTACATAGACGGTAGGATACACTTTGATAACAGAAAAAAAAAGGTGCCGGTAATGGTTTACAATTAACAATGCCAGTATTGCGATAGCAGACTTGCATTTTTTTAAAATTCTATTCATTGAAAGAAAAAAATGTATTCTTAGGGAAACAATACAACATGATTTCCCCAGGGCCCAACTACACAGTGAAGGTCCATGGGGCAAATGTAACACCTCCCAGTGTACCTCCTAGGCAGGGATAATTAAGGGAGTGTGCCCACAGAACTCAAGCAACCAACAATGTAAAGGGCGGGCAGGGGTAAGGATAGGAAGAAGGAAGGTCTAAGGTCATCAGATTTCTATTCATCGCCTTAAGGTATTTGGTCAAGATGAAGGACCATACCCGTGGCTGAGGAGAGGTGTCAAACCATGAAGCCCAGATATATAGGATTTTTCACAGCAGCCTCTGTTCTAAAAGGTGGTGTAGTAAAAGTGGCTTGATAAGTTGGATCCAGAAGGAGATTGTAGGAGGCATTTTTTTTTTTGCTGTTGCATCTTGGTGTAGAAATAGTGAGTGCCCATTCTGCCTTTGTGGGAGACAGGTCAAGCATCAGTCAGAGTAGGTAAGTTTTAGGGGACATAGAGAATGGAGCCTTAAGTTCTGTGGCAGTGCACCACCACCCCTGAGAAAGTATTAATAAATGGAAAATCCTATAGTTTTGAAAAAAGTGACCTTTCTCCTCCCCACAACTTTATCATGTGGATGAGATGGTTGGATTCAATTTGTGAAGTTGGTAGAGGGTGAAGTAGGCTCTGTGTAGAAATTTAAAGTTTAGGAGTTTATTTTCCAATGGGACCAATGAGCTAAAAGGAGTATCCCAGGCTTCCTCCTAGTCTTCAGCATCCAGACCAGAAACATCCAGCTGCCACTTACAAGTCAGTTCCAGTGATGCGATATGTATAAGAAAGCAATATATGGTAAAGACAGGCTTGGATAGACTGGTGGATCATAGAGCAGAATTCAGGCTGATTTCTATAAGAGATATAGTTTGCCCCTGAAATAATATAGTTTGCTCCTGGGTCAATGAGAAACAACAGAGACTTACTCCAGTTTACTCTGAGGCAGGAGACCTCAGAGAAATGTAATCTTGCTGTTGAGTAACTCATGCTTATATGGCTGCAAGGTTGATTGTACCAGAGGGCTGAGAAAATATATTTCTACAA